TTTTTTTTTTTTTTTTTTTTTTTTTTTTGGTACCCGGGATTGAACTTGGGTCCTTGTGCTTGCGAGGCAGGCCACCGAACTGCTGAGGTAAATCCCCGGCCCCCTATGACATACTTTTAAATAAATGATTTTTCCCTTCACATTCATGTTTTTGCCTTATATAGTTTGACACACTGTTTAATGGAATATATAGTAAAAGCTGTTCTTTTTAGAGAATTTCCTTTTGAATCATCATCTGATCACTGTAATCCTTTAATTACTTAGAGTTAAAAATTGAATATTATCAAATTAATATACTTCCAGTAGATTTTATTAAATTATGCTATATGTGTGTGCTTTTTACATAGCTTCCTATTTAATTTATCCTCATCAGTTTCCATGTAATAACTACTCTGTTCCAGGTAGTCATAGGACTTGCTCCATAATTCAGGTGTCTACATATTGATCAGCTCTGATGCCTTTTCTCTCTTTTTCTGATAGTCTGACCTGTTCTCTTGGTGACCAGGTGCTTCCTGGGAATCTTTAGAACTCATATTTGCAACTGTGCTTGTTTATTGCTGCTTCGTCTGTGAATTATGCCTCATCTTTTTCCATTTGAAGACAAATATAAATGAATATGAACTTTGCTATTGGTAATTTGCTATTTAAGTATTTTATAACAAATTTTATTTCCAAAATCTTTTGATGAGATTTAATGATACTAACAATATAAATGTCCTAGGTGTATGTTTTGTCATGGGCCTTGGGCAGTGAAAGAGAGTAGACAGATGATAAACCCCCTTCCTTACTCAACCTTTTTGGCCTTACTGATGACCATTCTCCTCCTTTGGCAGCTCTTCCTAAGTTTACCATGTATGATTTTCCACGACTAGTGTTCTTTTAGTTTCTTTCCTTGGGATTTTCAATCAGTGCTACAGAAATTGCATAGGGAAGTATTTTGCAAGTTTTGTTTTGTTTTTATCTCACTGTTCTTTGAAATTGATGATACCCAAAATCAAGGGAAAATTGCTTTCTCATCAATTCCATTGATCATGAGGTTCAAGATTTTTCAAGTGTTCTTGATGAGAATCACATCTATTTCCAAAAAATACTAGCACAATATATTCTCTGGACATTGGAAGAAGTCACTAGTCTGTTGATTTTGGTAAACTTCAACGAAAGGAGATGAGTGTGGAGTGCATAAGCTGGTTCTCCATCCTTGCAGAAGTCTTATTGTGTTCTTCCATACCTTAATTTTCTTAAAATTTGGATCTTGTTTTATATTCATGTTTTCCTTTAGTCAGATAGGTTGTAGTTATTTTTGAGATTGGTGTTCATTGCTCTTTACTCTATAAAAAATTGTATTATTGAATAAACACCGAATATTTTATTCTCATTCTCCCTGTATAAAATCAATGTGTAACTTATGTACATAGAAGAGTATATGATCCAGATTTCCAAGTACATACCTATTTCTTCTGAACATAAATGAAACATACTGTGATTTCTTCCAGAAATGTTTAATATGAGCTGCATCATGATTTAGTATTCTGTTTACTAAATCCATGGATCCATGCAGGGCTGTCTTTCTTTCCTGAGATGCATTTGTCATTCTCTCTACTAACCATGTTGTCACTAAAGGTGGATATGAATGTGTTTTATGCATAGTATGCAAGCTATCACCTTGCTCACAAGATCTTGAATGTTGTCTGTCTTCTATTGCACCACTATAATTTTTTTAACAGATCACGGGTGTTTTGTTTAAGTTTTCCTTTTCAAGGGGACTTTGACATAGAGTCTCACTTTGTAATCCTGACTGGTCTAAATTTACAACTGGGGCTAGATTTTGAACTCCTGCCAATCCTCAAACTCATGGCCATCCTCCTATAGCCTTCCCAGTGCTAGGATTACAGGCATCTATCACCACACCTGGCTGAAATTTCCCTTTTCTAATTAGTTCCTAATTTTTTGTGATATCTTCATTTTAATGTGTTTAATATATTTTATTCATATTCTGCCTATCATTAATCTCCCTCAGACAATCCTAGAATTATATCTGAGTGCAGGGTGAATATTTGATGTCACTGAGCTATAAGATAATAAGACACACTTTCCTGATTTTCAGTGTCCGTAGATTTGCTCCAATAATACTGTTTTTCCATTACCATTTGTTATTATTTGTAAACCTTATTTATTTATTTATTTATTTATTTTTTTAACTGGTACGTTTTAGAAATACATAGTCTGGGGTTTAGCTCAGTGGTTCTACCACCTGCCTTGCAAACAAAAGGTCCCAAGTTCAATCCCCTGTACCAATATATGAATGAATGAATGAAGGAATGAAATACATAGGGTTAACATTCATCATAGGCAGTTTGTACTTGTACATGGTATATCTTCTTTTTTTTATTCCCCTCCCTTCAGCTCTTCTCGTTATTTACAAAAATTTTGTTTCCATTTTTTTCCTTTTATTCTTTTTTTTCCCTATGAAACAAGATTTGAATTGTGAAATGCTGCCTAAGTACAATCAAAGAAAGAATGGCTTAATTCTATAACTAATAGATTTGAAAAGAGATATAATCTATGTCTTTCAGAACCATTCATTAGATATTTATCTGCCCCTGTGTTTTGTAGTTAGATGGTGATTTGTAGGCTGCCTCTATGAGCTCTGCTTTAGAAACAATGTACAATTTCTGTGCCCTGCTGGGCAGCCAGTGCTATGATTCTGCTTTTGCTGTAGCAGTGAGTTGCAATCTAGTATCAGAACTGCTTTGTAAAACTATATGCATATACATGGGTTTGGTGACCAAGACACGGAGTTAATATTTGAAGAAATCAACCTCACTTCAGCTTTTACAAGAGAAGTTCAGATATCTCAGGGTATGAGTCCGAACCTTCTTTCAGGGAGAATATATGTGATTTTTTTTAGGAGGCAGTGACTTTGGAGGATGTAACTTTGAGCTTCTCCATGGAGGAGTGGGCTTTGCTGAATCCATCCCAAAAGAAGCTCTACAGAGATGTGATGTGGGAAACTGTTATGAATATGACAGCTATAGGTAAGGATGGCATCATTTTCTCATTTATACAATGAGGGAGCATTGGTTCTAGCTCATTGCTACAGATTCATTAAATAGAATGTAAAAACATTTTGAAGAATATCTCTGGCCTGTTTATATTATACCATGAATCTAACTGCTGTTAATTTTAATATAATGATATAGTGTCCTTTTGTATTTCTATGCTATAATTCAGGACGGACCTGGGACAACCAGCAAATTGAAGAAGAATACAAAAATTGTTCAAAAAATCTAAGGTAATTTGCATTCATAAGGAAAAGGGATATTCCCCAAAAGTTGGTATATAAGTCGAAATATTACAACCAAGGAAATTCTACAAATGAGGTCGTATTCAAACTTATTTAATCTCTTAATCTCACAAAAATTCTCCAGATATGCATACAGGTTGATTTTGTATAATTTGACAATTGAATGCAGAAATATTCCAATATAGGGAACTCAGTAGTAACATTATACAACAAGAGTTACTATCTCATACATTATTATTAAAAAATTCTTTCATGACCAACATCATGAAAATGTATGAAATTGCATTTAGGTATTATGTATAGACATATATGAAAGAATAAATTTTGAAATTTGACAGCGCATCTTCAAGTGTTTTTTATATATATACATATGTATGAATGTAAGACATACATTATCTAAAAAATTCACAGCCTAGAAGCAATATTCAAAATGCAAATGAATGCTAGTGCAATAATAGATTTCAAAACATTCTCTAGAGAATTGAGTGCATTCATGTTTAAAAATTCTTGGAAAGTACCCACATAATGTTGTTGGTAGGGATGTTAAAGTAGAACCATTTTGATAATCAATATACAGATGTCTCCCCTCCCCGAAAAATAAAAATAGTTTGTATTTGATCCCAGCAAACCTCCTATGTATATTCTAAAAGGATTTAAAATTATCATATCTTAGTGATACATGTATACCCGTGCTCAAAGCACGGTATGCACGGCATGCATGGTTATTAACAGCAGCAAAGTTCCAAAAATAATTCCTAATACCTAAGCTCTGGTAACAGCCTCACTGCCCGTCATTGTATGCATGGATAAAGAGAATGTGGGATAGGCTCACCATGGTGGTGCCATCTTATAATCCCAGCACTCTGGTAAACTGAGCCAGCAGGATGATGGTGTGAAGTTCACCCTGAACAAATTAATGATCAGTGAGTAAATTAATGATCAATGAGAAACTCTCTCCAATTAAGAAATAAAAAAAAAGAAAAACAACTAATTTAGTGCTAAAATCCTTGTTTAATTCTTAGCACTGAAAAAAATGCGCTGTAAAGAAGAACAACATATCTTTTGAAAAAAAAAAAAAGATTGGAATCCATCTCATGTTAAATGAAAAAGGTCAGTCACAGAAAATGAATTACTCATCTTTTCATTTAAATGAGATACCAAGATATAAATTAGGGAGTAAAATTAAGGAGGTATGGTAGAGTACATAAAAGCTGACTTAAGGCCATGCGTCGTGGCGCACGCCTGTAATCCCAGCACTCGGGAGGCTGAGGCAGGAGAACTGCTGTGAGTTCCGGACCAGCCTGGACTACATAGTGAGTTCCAGGTCAGTCTCAACTACATGGTGAGACCCTGTCTCCAAAAAATAAAAAAAAGAGCTGACTTGTTGAAGGTGGGAAAGATGACCAGGGTAAGGGGAGAAGGGGATAGTGGTGGGGGAGAAGGTGTCAGAAATGATCACTCTGTGATATACCGAAGTATTAGTGACCTAAATGACCTTATGTATTGCAAACATATTATTTTAAAATTCCCAAATGAATGCCATCCTTTGGGGAATGGCTGTTTTGGAGGCCTCCTCCAGGGCATTCAACCTGTTCGTTCTCAAAATTTCTCAGCAGGCATCAAGACACAATTTATGGTAAATTATTGATATGGAGATCTTTCTATTACAATTGATATTTTTGTTCTTTTTTTCTTTACAGAAATGAAGAGATAGCAAAGTGCTATCAACATAAAGCTTGGACTCAACATGAAAATATATTCCTTTGGACTCCAGATGCTAGTGTGGTTATGCAACAAGCTGCTTTGACGCCAGCTGAAAGTTTTGCTTGTAGAAAGTCCCTAATTGGGCATTTATCACAAAATGTGCCCACTTTCCCTCATACTGGACTCAAGCCACATGAATATTTGGGATTTGATAGCAAGCTGAGTAAATGCAATGAGCATGGAGAAATCTACAGTGATTTCCAGTCCTTTCAGAAGCCTGGAAGGACAAAGACTGGAGAGAAACCCTGTCAGTATGAGCAATGTGGGAAGACCTGCTCTGAGCTTAGTGAAATAACACACCCCGAAGACAAGACCTTCATAGGAAAGAAAAATGTGAAAGCTTCCAGTAGCATGAGTGGTGTTCAACTCTATGAAAGAATTCACACTGAGAAGAAACCTTATGTGTGCAAGCAATGTGGGAAAGCCTTCAATACTCAAAGTTGTTGTAAAATTCATGAAAGGTTTCACCTGGAGGAGAAACCCTATGTATGTAAGCAATGTGGGAAAGCTTTCCGCACACACAGTAACTGTCAAATACATGAAAGAATTCACACTGGAGAGAAACCCTATATGTGTAAGCAGTGTGGAAAAGCTTTCAGCAGACACAGTCACTGTCAAATACATGAAAGGACCCACACTGGAGAGAAACCCTATATGTGTAAGCAATGTGGGAAAGCATTCAGCAGATACAGTCACTGTCAAAGACATGAACGAATTCACACTGGGGAGAAACCCTATGCATGTAAGCACTGTGGGAAAGCATTCAGCACACACACTCACTGTAAAAGCCACGAAAGAATTCACACTGGGGAGAAACCTCATACATGTAAGCACTGTGGGAAAGCATTCAGCAGACATAGTCAGTGTCTAAGCCATGAAAGAATTCACACTGGGGAGAAACCCTATGTATGTAAGCAATGTGGGAAAGCATTTAGCACACATAGTAACTGTAAAAGCCATGAAAGAACTCACACTGGGGAGAAACCCTATGTATGTAAGCAATGTGGAAAAGCATTCACAAATCACATTTATTACCGAATACACGAAAGAACTCACACTGAAGAGAAATCCTATGTGTGTAAACAGTGTGGTAAAGCATTCATTACACACAAATATTGTCAAAGACATGAAAAAACTCATACAGGGGAGAAACCCTGTGTATGTAGGCAATGTGGAAAAGGATTTGTTGATAAGTCCGCACTTTGTAAACATAGAAAAACTCACAGTGGTGAGAAACCATATGTATGTAAGCAATGTGGAAAAGCATTCAGCTTACACAGTAGCTGTCAAAGCCATGAAAGAATTCACACTGGGGAGAAACCCTATATATGTAAGCAATGTGGGAAAGCCTTCCGCACAAGCAGTCACTGCCAGAGACATGAAAGAACTCACACTGGGGAGAAACCTTACATATGTAAACAATGTGGGAAAGCATTCACTACACACAATTATTGTCAAATACATGAAAGAACTCACACTGGAGAGAAACCTTATGTGTGCAAACAATGTGGGAAGGCATTCCTTACACATCAGTATTGTCGAATACATGCAAGAACTCATACCGGGGAGAAGCCTTATTTGTGCAAGCATTGTGGAAAAGCTTTCACTACAAAGAGTTCTTACAACAATCATGAAAAAAGGCACACAGGGGAGAAACCATATGTGTGCAAGGAGTGTGGAAAAACATTTACTAGAAAGAGTTCTTATAGCATACATGAAAAAAGTCACACAGGGGAGAAACCTTATGTGTGCAAGCAATGTGGGAAGGCATTCACTACACACAAATATTGTCAAATACATGAAAAAATTCACACAGGTGAGAAACTCTACGCATGTAAGCCATGTGGAAAAAGATTTGCTAGTGAGTCTTCAATTTATAGACACAGAAGATCTCACACTGGAGAAGAGTCCTATGTATGTAAGTAATGTAGAGAAAGCATTCAGTGAACACAGTTTTTATCAACTATATGAAGTCACACTGGGGAGAAACCCTATACATGTAAGACTTGAAAATTCATCATGTAGTGGAGACATGTATGAATTAAATGAAAAATTTGATGTCAGTATCTCTTCATAAAGTTTCTGGAAAATACACTCCAAGGTGGAGAGATCCTAGAATATGTCTGTTCTATGTTTTTCAGTAAATCACTTGTAAATATCCAAAATATGTACCTGTAGTCCTTACTATAAAAATATTGACATAATATATTTTTGTGTATGCCATAGTCTTTCAACTTAAAATATAATATCTTCTAATTAAGGTTAATTTAATTGAATTTTCACTTCAAAGTAAGGTTAATATTTATGTAGTTTGATTTTATTTGTTTTGCTTTTACTATTGGAAAGTATAGGCCACTAAAATAAATTTTATTATTTTTTAATATTTTAGCTAGCTTGGATTTTAATTTTCTTGATGTATATACTCCATTTACTGTGTAAAAAAGAATGTTGAATCTGACTTTATACATGTATATGTATACATATTTAGAGGCATGCAATCATGTTTTTGAAAAGTTCAGCTTTCAAACCATTTTTAAATTAGCAAATGTTTTGTTTTTCATATCTCAACAAGATCTCCATATGTCCCAAATAATTAGGTACATACTTTTGCTTATTTTGCTTTCATGGAGTCAACATGATTTACTTAAAATTTTGTTTTCTTACTGTTAAAAATTTACTTTTCATGCTTATGTGACTTATGACTTCTGATTCTTTTTATAAATTTACCATCACTTTTATGAAAAAATAAACCATATTGCTGTCTGATTTGTGACAGATCAGATGGACCATGACTTGTCTGTAAAATGATACCATGAATCGTATCAATTAGTGCTTACAAGATAAACAGTTAAAGGCATGATATATAAATACATAAGAATTTAAAAAATTTGCTTATAATGGCTGCCCACACAATCAGATGTGGAAAAATGCAAAAGATCTGTCTGTGCACAGGATGTCCAAAAAAATCCAATTGACCTGGAGCCCACTGTAGTGCCTTGCAAGTCTGTATCAGTAGAACAAAGGGTTTGTGCCAGAAACCGAATGATCTGAGCTGGAGGATGAAGACTCTGCACTGAAAGAATGACAAATCTGTGTTGGAAGCCAGGAGATGACTTCCAAGGTGATAGTACTGGAGTTCATCGACAAAAAGAGGCAAGCCTTCATTTTTTATTTTATAACATTTTTCAACAGTTCTCAGGTGGGTCTTCCACATTCCTAACTTTGCTGGGCAAATTTAGTTGGGCATTGCTTACTAAAGTTGACAAAATCAACTACCACAACCCGCTCCTTGACAACTTGACAACTGGACGTAATTCTTTAAACCATAGTCTCCTGATAAAAAGATGAGTTCATGAATTTAACTGAAATGTTATAACTCTGCTGCATACAAATGGAAACACGAATTCCCTCCTCGATATAGAAGGGAAGTTTTAGTGATGCTTATTCCTAACATTTTGTAACAAATATAGGTTTAAAAGACTCATCCAATATTCAGTCTATCAACATATTACATTGCGAGCATATTAAGGAAGGACTATTACAGTCCTTCCTGGAGCTGGTCACAGGTTCATAGCTGGTATTTGGAACTACCCATTTTGTATTTCCTTGGCCTTAAGCACCTCAGCAGTGCTTGGTCCTTTCCCAGTGTAGTGACCCATACCTTTACTACTGCAGGGTTTGGACCATTTGACATTTTGCCTGGATTGGATTGTTATATTTTCCCATTGACTTTAAACAGAGCATGGTAATGCTAATAGGTACCCTCAGTGATCTGCATTCCAATATATTCTTTCTTTACTCCATTGAGGAGTGATAGTCTACAATTTGGGTCAATCTCGCCTCTCAACACTGTAACTCCCTTTTTAGCTTGTTTCCTCAGAGTCATAAAGAGACCAGAATGACCAGAAGGAAGTCTTCACTTCCAGCTCAGTGGTATCATTATGCTCCCTGGTACAAGCCTTATGTGTACAAGAAATGTGGGAAGGCATTCACTACACACAAATATTGTCAAAGAATTCACACAGGTGAGAAACTATCCATGTAATCCATGTGGAAAAAGACTTGCTAGTGATCTTCAACTTAGAGACTCACACAGGGCAATCTCCCTGGGGAAGAGCCCTGTGTATATAAGCAATGAGGGGAAAGCAATGAACAATATTTTTGTCCACTATATGAAAGAAACCTCCCCCACTCTGAAACTAAGACTTCCAAGCCAGCAGTAGACAAGGTCATGAGAACAGGGTACAAAACTTTTGCTAATAGATCACTATAGGTAGTGGTGAGTGGTACCACTCTTACCATAGGAGACACATAGCCATATAGTGGGTGCTGACTCAGAACATTCAACCTTTAGAAGAACCTTGCTCTAGGCCTGCAAGCTATTGCCACCTAACTGGTGCTCCAACTGTGTCTTCCAAAGACCGTTCCACCTTTCTGTCAATCCAGCTGCTTCTGGGTGGTGGGGAACATCAGTGAATTCCATGAGCAGGAGCCCATTGCCTCATTTCTTTGGCCATCAAATGTATTCCTTGGGGTCAGAGCCAATGCTGTGTGGAATTAAATGATGGCAGATAAAGCGTGATATGAACCCATGGATGGGACTTTGTCAGAAGCATTACATGTATGAAAGACAAATCCATTTGCAGAATAAGTATTTTTGCCAGTAAGGACAAAGCACACTCTTTTTCATGATGGAAGTGGTCCGATATAATCAACCTGCCACCAGGTTGAAGGCTGATCACCCCAGAGAGTGGTGCCATATTGAGGAATCAGTGTTGGTATTTCCTACGGGCATATTGGGCATTCAACAGTGGCTGTAGCTATATAAGCCTTAGTGAGTGGGAGTCCACGTTTGTGGGCTTGCACAAAAGTGATCCCTGCTGATATGGTCACTGTTCATAAGCCTGTTGGGCAATTACAGGAGTGGCTGAAGAGAAAAGCTGACTACCTACTATCTACAAATGGGTCATCTTATCTACTTGGTTGTTAACGTCCATTTCTGCTGAGGTCACTTTTTGGTGAGCATTTACATGGGATAAAAATATTTTTTACATCCTTTGCCCATATAGATAGGTCTACCCACGTATCTCCAAACAACTTTGCCACTGATTTTCCAGTTATGTTCCTCCAATTTCCTGAACACTCAACCAGATCATTGGCTACAGCCCATGAATCAGTATACTGTTGCACATCTTGTGGGCTGGGGATTTAGCTCAGTGGTTCTGGTGCCTGCCTCTCAAGCACAAGGACCCGAGTTCGATCCCCGGTACAAAAGAAAGTTGCATATCTTGCCATTTTTCTTACCAGGAAAATGTACTCCCAGGAGTACTGCCAAAATTGCTACTGTGAAGATTTTCATCACTGTCCATCATGGATGTCCTGTAAAGAGGTTGTAATGCTGCATCTGTCCACTTGGAGGCGCTGCTTGCACGACACGCAGAACTATCCCTAAATTTTGACTAGTCTGTTTTTGCTCTAATAGCTGAGCTTATGGCACACCTCGTGAGGCCATAGGTGTATGTTAGGAAACAAGGTGATATGGCAGGAGTAGGAGCCATGGCCATCTGAGGAACTTCTTCATGTAATTTACTTGTATCCTCTGGACCTGTTCTGCCTTGATCACAGATATACTATTTATATTTAATTATAGACTGTTACTACATGTCCAAACTTTCTATTTCTCTATCCCTTCCCTCTTTCCTTTTAAAATTTTCTCACCAGAGGCTAAAATCACTCAATTGAGGGGATATTTAATGTATATAAAATTTTGGTTTATTTTATATTTTGTTATATAACTTTTATTTGTATCATTAAAGGTGACAAAGTAATACTTACCACAGTTTGTCATTTTCTAGGCTGTGCTAGATCCTATTGTTATTACTGCTTGCACTTTTTTTTTTTTTTTGTACCAGGGATTGTACTCGGGAACTTGTGCTTGTGAGACAGGTATGGAACCACTGAGCTCAATCCCAGGCCCTGATTGCACCGTTTTAACCAAGATGAACTAGGTGTTCTAAAAAAAAAAGAAAGCCTAAAATAAAACAAAAAGATTCTGTTGTGTTCATCTAGTCCAGACCCTGGCAAAGCTCAGGGGAAGCTGGTAACAGTCTTGGTAGAAGTTGGAATCCATGGTGATGGGCTATCCGTGTGGACCCAGACACAAACCTCATTTCCGGGGTGATCAGAACCAGTAGACCATGATCCTTAGAGCCCAGGGACGTTCAGTCCCTTCAGGGGTGCTGAGAAAACTCAGTAGGGATGAGTTGTTCAAAAGCCAGGCTTTCCAGGGTCCCAACACAGGAGCAGTTACCCTGAGACCTTGGGTCCTTCTTACTCTTTGTTTTCATGTGACTCATCTCCCTCTATTTAAGTGAAGCAAAAAATGGGCCCTATATATCTTTCCTTATATCTTCTTCATGCAAGTTAGTGTATAGACATTTTATAACTGTAAATCTGATAACTATTAACAAACTGATTGAAATATGTTAGGTGTCAATAATTTCACCAACTAAAAGTTGAAAAGTTCATTATTTGTGAGTATATTCCATTAAAAACTGCAACCATCAATGCAATGTCACTGGAAAACATTTTTGGAAATTGCAGAGGAATACCAAAAATTTTAGCTGTCCCTTTCCATTCTTATATTTCCCATTCCTTGGCCCAAAGTGAGTAAAAATCCATTTCTGCCTTTATGGATTTCCTATTTTTGGAAATTTTCTTAAGCTTCAAAGAATAGGCAGTGCTTGTATCTAAATTCAACGCTTGGCAAAATAATTCGGTTTATATATTTTACGTGACTTTGTATGTTTAGGGCAAAAATTGCAAGCAAATACATACAAATGAGGATGTGGAAACAGTCCTCAAAATCGTGATGAGATTGTGAGATTTCATAGGTACTCTGCAAACAATTTCTTTGCTTCTGAAATTACCAAAATGAATTTCTCATATGATTTTATCATTGGGTAAATAACTGAGTATTGAAAGTGTACATTTGCACAAAATTGT